GATAAGGGGTCGTTCACCGAAATTAACGGTCATTTTTAAAAAAACAGAACAATCGATTTCCAGGAATTTCTATTGTCCTTTTCTTGCTGACCCTCCCCTTTTTTGACGTCACAAGTGAAGTTAATGACCTCTTATGATTTAAAATGTTAAAAATATTCTCAGAGAACTCAAAGAAGTTCAACTTTATCATATTCATGAAAATTGAATAAAACGCTTCCTAGTTTTACAAGTGCTCACTAAAACAGGCTGAAAAGCTCTCATCTTTTTTTTAAAAAAAAGGGTTAATTTTACGGTTTGTTAAACATTGAAGCTTTTTTTTGCATATCCACATAAAGCGGATCGCATCAACTCATTCAAAGATCGTCTCACCAAGGAATTTAAATTAAGATGAAGGCAACAAAGAAGGAAGCACACTCGAGTGTCGAGTGATGTGAATAATGTTCTTATCATATTTCAAAAAAGAAATACCATCACCGCACTGCTGCTGTTGCTGAAGTTTTTCTCTTATATCTCACTTCATACCATTGCCATATGTGCAATAATTTTATTTGACAACATTTCATACACATGGCACATTATTATTGCTTTTTATATTTTACATTTGTTGTTGTAAATTGTTTTCAAACAATGAAAGAAGGCAAATTAGGAAGAAGCTTATGCTAAAAAGTCTGCTTTTTATGGTTTCTGATGAAATTTATTCTCCTATTTACGTCTCTTTATGTGAGTAGTTTATGTGTGAATAAATAATAATCGTACATACCCTAAAATGTAATCAAAAAGAAAGAAAAGTCTTTTGATCGTGGGGATATGAAATGTGTGAAATCTTAATTTAGTTCCACTACTTAAACGTTCATTTCTTTGTATTTTTTTTACCATGCCTATACTCATACTATTTATAGAAAAGCTACTTATCATACTGTGTTTATTTTTATAATATTTTACGCTATTCTGACACAACTATTCGTAGTTGGTACGAATATCATTTGAAGTATGTCGGTGAATTACGTCAGATCGGGTCGGGCTGAATTTATTATTATGACGTGAACATTTTTATGGAAATTGTATGATTGAAAAAGAATTTTTATGTACGTCATGAAGGAAATCGAAAGGTGCGTATTTGTGATAAATTTAGTGGTGGTTCGTGTTGCTTTGGTTTTAGATGGTTCAATCTATACAGTGGAGTTCGATTTAGTTCAATTATGTTCGATTCAATCAATAAAGCTTTATTGAATTTTTATTAAATTTTTAAAAGTCCATTTTCAACAACTTAACAAGTTGTGTGGAATAAACTTTGTTGAACAAAGTTTTTTCTTTGTTTGAAAAAAAAAAACTTATTCGTCACCCCTAAAGAAATATTGAATTTTTCAGAGGATATTAAGCTTTCAGTCGATTCTGCCTCATTCTTCTTAAGTTTATATTGCCACGTCATTCGTCAATAAAAATCCGTAAATTTCTGATAGAACTTTTTGTAAAGAAAACTACTACTTCCGAATGGTTAAAACGATTCCTTTTAATTTTCACTGAATTAGTTCCATTAACATTCACAACCCTACGAGAGTTTATTACTACCCAGAAGTAAAAACAGTTTTATATTTTCTGCAAAAATTTGATTTTGCCTTCAAAGTTTTATTTTTATTTCCCCATTTATTTTCACCCTCCTTCTTTAGTTTCTTCCAATTCACAAGTTAAAATGGAAATGAAGAAAACTTTTGTATAGTAAAAAGTAGCAAAAACGAGGTCGAATGTGATTATTGAGGACACCTCTTGCTCAATGCGGCACGCACAATCATGATGATCAACGAGGCAATAAAAATACGCATTCACTCTATAAATATTTAATATTTTCTTTCCATTTCTCTTTCTTCTTCTCCCCTTCAATAAATTATGAATAATTTAGAGACTGTATTTTGATATCGTAGCCTCACATAAGCTTATATTCAATAAATTTCTATGAACACGTGGAAAATATATATATTTAATGCACATGGGAGTCGAAACAGAAATTATTTTTTGATTCAGAATTGATTGCCGACATAAATAGTGATGAGATCATCATCATCATGTCATGACTGTACAAAATACCGCTGTATAATCCAAATGGGAAATATTCAATGCTCATTATGCATACATAAATACAAATGTACCAAATTTGTACAAGCAGTAAAATTATTAATTAAATGTCCCTTGAAAATAAAGTCAACATTACCTTTTGCCACTTTAAACAGGAGCATAGCTATGAGAACGAGGCTAAAAGCTAAACAAGTGTTTAAAGATTTTTTTTCAGCAATCTCCATTTCCACCCCTAATATATTTTTTCCATTTCCGCTTTTGTTACGTAAACGAATGAATTATTGCTGACCGGAGACTTTAGAGGAACATTTTCTTGCAGATGGGAGAAATTTTCGCTTTTTCAAGAGGTCATAAATGTCTCATATTTTGATAAATTTATTGATCAACATAGGGGATGCTCGCATCCTTACAAAAACATCTATCCGATTATAGAAGGGCACAGATTGAGTTTATAACGCAATTTAAATGTTTAAAAGTTTTATGTTCTCTTTAATTCGAAGATTAAGAAAGTTTTAAAATGTTTATGGCATCACTTCAACAAATCTTATTTGAAGGCTGCATGTTGCTTTATAAAATATTCTCCTAATATCCTTTCAGGTGATAAATTACAACCACTTTATTTAAATTTAATGCACATATACAATTTCTGTGTGCCAAGCTAGTTTATATTCGTACGTAAAAAAAGACTGAGTTGGAAAAGTAAGTGTCTTATTACTGAAGAAAGGAGGCAAAATTTTACATTACATTATTATGAAGGAATCTTCAGGGGGTGATGACTGAATGAATTATATGGGATGTTAAAAGTCATTATTTCGTATGGTTTGCTGCAGCTTATATTTCAAGGTGGATGAATTTTTAAGCTGAAGAGGTTTTTGTGAATGTAATTGATATTGTTTGTTAAATGTGTTACTTGAATTTCCACAAAAACAAAAAAAAAAATGTTGATCTACTTAAATACCCAAAAAAAAGAAAAGCTCTCTAAACAAGATCCTTCCTTGAAATGTCCTCAAAATGTGCACAAAACAATCTTAAAAATAAGCACGCAACAATATATTTCAATAAAGCAAATCTCCCATTCTAATCCATTTTGATTTGGATACCCAGATTCACATGAAATTCTACGAAAAGAGCTTTGCTAAAAATTTATGAATATGAACTTTTCCTTTAAGGGATCAAAAAGTTCATAACCCTTGTCAGCCTTAGGAAGGACAAAAAAATGTTTTATTATTCTTTTAGTCCTGAAAAAAAAAATCTTCATACAATACATTAAATATCCCCTTTCATCCATTCTCGCACATTGTATGCGAGTGGAAAAAAAATTCTTTCATTTATTACACGAGCGGCACATACTTATGCTTATTTAACATAAAGCAGTATAAAGTGCCTTTTTCATGTGAATAAAAAAAAAAAGGAAAAAGAGGAGAGAAAAATAATTCGATGACATTATTTTATATTTTCTGAGTTTCCACAGTGACATGTCATCACACAAAAATGTTTATTTTTCATTTTTTATTATTTTTATTCATGACTCCCTCACTTAACATGATTTCTGTTCTCCATATCCTCTTCACCTCCACAAATACTCATGTGTTGACGCTATTTTCTTTTTCTTCTTCTGGCCTCCTTTCGTCTGTAGATTTGGGAATAAAATTTTTTTTACTCCTCATATTTCATTTCATTTTCAAACTTTTTTATTTATTTAAGTGCTACATAAAAAGAAAATAAAGCCATGAATGATTGTTGAACGAAGGTAAGAAGACGGAAAGTTGAAGAAGCATGGAGACAATGTAAATGAGAGCATTGCTTAAACTTTGAGGCAATCAATAAAAATAAATTACACGCAACGAAGCATTTTGGAAATAATTTTTCATTATTTCATTTTTTTTCGTTGCAATTTTTTACGAGTTGCAGCATTTTTTGTAAAGAATGTTGTATGCAATTTGGGAAGCAGGTCAATGTTATTTTAATAATTTGTAGTTTTGTTTTATTGAAAATTATGATATAGAAGATTTGAAAGCTTTTATGATGTTTCAAATTTTTCACTGTTTTTTAAAAAAGGGATTTTTATTCAGAGGCCGTTCACTTACGACGTCCAGGGGGGGGTCAGCAAAAAAAGAACAGTAGAAATTCCTGGAAATCCATTGTTCTTTTTTGAAAAATGACCGTTAATTTCGGACGTCATAAGTAAACGACCCCTCAGGGGCGTAACTAGTCCACTCAAAAATCAAAATAGTAATTGAATATTAAAATTTTCTACGGTTTTCATACCTAATAACATATCGACCCCCCAATTTTGAGCATTATAGGTGTCAACCTTTCGTTTCTTCCCTTTAAAAGAACGCTTGGAATCTAGTTAAGTCGCAATTTTTAATTTCGAGGTCCTAAAAATTGGTCCTAGTTTTTGTAAGTCCATCAACTCTGATTTTCTAGTTGCCAATGCATGACATTATCATTACAAAGTTCAACTTGTTTTATTGCGTTTGCAAATAAATTAACAATCCAAACAAACCACAAATTGTATCAAAGAAACCGACATCAAGTAGACAAACAAGCACCACAAACATCTTACAAACTCACTTGCTATGCTATCTGACTTGTCTTTTGCTTTTAAAATTTAACTACATTTTTACTGTGTAAAAGCAATAACTTGAGTTTTATTCATCAAAACAACAACAAAAAAAAACTTATTATTTTTCCAAATGCTGATGGCGGACAAAAAATGAAAAGACAAATAGATAGGGAGCAGGGGAAGGGATGGGAAAAGGAATTTAACGATCAAACAATCAAACATCGTCTACCAACGATATGTTTTTTTGGGGGGAACATTTTTTGTTATCTTTCTCATCGTGCGAGAAAGCAACAACGAGGCAAAAATACTGGAAAAAAATCGATTTCAAAAGGGAAAAAGAAAAAAAAGTTCAGTTCATTACCTTCTGCTTATGATTTTCCTCCTTCCTCAAAAACTTTTTGTTCTATCATCATGAAAATTGAATTAATTAATTAAGTCGACTGAGAAGTTAATAGAATAATCCTCGTTGTATTCGCCTTGAAATTTGTTCTCCTTCTTTCGTCTGGTTAGCTTTAAACGGAAATTCTATAACAAGAAAAAGAGATCCTTCACCGTGATTCGGCAGATTTTTTTCAATTTGCAATTTTTTTATCCTTTTGAGCAATAAAATTAAGCCACACACTCTGAGAAATGGGAGAAGAAACACAACATTCACTTTTTATATCCTTTTTTTCTTTTGTTTTAATACTTTTATATAAATCACTTCTTATTCTTTCCCTTTTTTTTTAATTCTATTTCTCCTTCTTACTGTTTTCTCTCTCGTTCGAGGATTGAAGAAAAATTTATTTCCACACTTGCACCCCCGACACACACACAAAAAAATAAACGAAGGAAATTCTTCTATGTTTTAGAACTCTGCACTGTTGATTGTAAATCTTCTATGGTTTTGAATATCTTCTTACTCTTTCTCTCTTTGGATTTAAACTTTTTCTTTCGTATAAGTCTTTAAAAATTAATTTTTTTTTCTATAACAATTGAAAAAGAACTTTATTATTGTGCTTAAGGATTGAATTGAAAGGCTTTGGAGGATCTTTTTTTTAAACTTTGAGATTTTTTTATTTGTTAGAAAATTTTCTTCATAAAAACTTGTCAAGGATCAAAATGTCAAAGCAAAGAGGGTAGAATGTCGGATATTGAGTTTGTGCTGAAAGGTTGTAATAATCATGAATGACAATAATTCGCTGCATGTTGCCTTTTTAAAGTCCTTTTCAAATTTGAACAATTCAATATGGAGCGTAACAGATTGTGCTTACCCCCTTTTAAATCTCCCTTTAACTGCGATATGTGTATACTAATGTATAACAAGTCAAGATTGATGGGAATCGAACCCACGACCTCAAAAGAGGCGATCTCTGACCACTCGATCAGAGATCTCTGCCACTCGGCTACCTAGGTCCTTATCTCACTTCGGCTATCCGTCATACACATATAACCAGTTCTTCGCGATACCTATGCTCAGGCCTATCTACTCCAGCTATACTCTTCGAGCTATATCTTCACCCCACCCCCCACCTTCTTCTTTTGTAATAGACAAACGGCCCCAATGACAACCATGGTGAAAAAAATTAACTCTTTTAATCATATAAAATTCTAGAATTCAGCTCGAAACTGGGGTTAAAAAATAACTTACTATGGAAACAATATTTTCATCCAATACCACATTTTTTAACCAGTAACTCTGTCAACTGCTATACCAAAACCGCCGCATAGCTTTTATTACAATCATATTTTTATGGAAGAATTTTTCATTCAAAAATATTTTTGGTTTATGAAAAAATTCCTAAAGGTTCACGAATAACTTTGCGATTTTTGCCTCTTTAGTTTGCCTTCTGAGAAAATCTTTTTTTTTGTGGAAATTAAATCGCATCAAAAAGTCTAACCGAAAATAATTCTCGCTTCTAATTTTATCTGGCAAAAATCATATGGGAATAATTTATTATATTTCAAGTATAAATAGAGACGTGAAGGAAATTGTTTATTGATTTTTATAAGAACATGAAAAAAAAGTATTAGGAACCTTTTACCATCATTCCTAATCGATCTTTTAGTATAAATTATGAGGGTGTGAATTATTTCGTTTGGAAGGAGAAATGGTTTTGGGGAATCATTTTGAATAAATTGCTTGATTTGAGTAATTTTATTTGAAAAGAATCTAAAATATTTATGGTCACATTCCTAACATATTACATTTAATATTTTTTTGCATTTTAGGAAATTAAATTTCGAATCTTGAGTTTTCCTTTATATCAGTGTGAAGTGAATTTCTCAAACATTTGACGAGATTAATGAAAAAAAATTCAAATGAATTTTTAAACTCAATGTTTTATTCATTGAGGATCAGAATATTTTCAATACTGCAAGCAATTAATTTTCCCACCATTTTAAAATTTATCTAAAAGTTAAATAAAATAAGTTACAACCCTCACGAGAGATAACAAAAGAATATAAAAACGATTTAATTTTTTAAAAGCAATTAAAGTTACTAAAGCACTTAAAACTTTGCATAATAATAAATTTCCAAGCTCAGATTTCTTAAAAGTTTTATGTATTGATTCATGTGAGAACAAAAATTTCATTTCTAAAATGAATATAAAACTCATGAGATTTGGCGTACAATAAAATCTCAAGAGTTTTCTTGAAATTTTGATTATCATCATTTTCGAATTGTTTTGTAAGTTCATAGAAATATTTTATTATAATTTGATTCTTATGAAATTCGCCTGCAGAGATCAACTTAATTTGACAGTTTTAAAAGTAAGAGGATGTATCTAGATAGAAAAGAAGTAGAACTTGGCCTTTATTTTTAAAAAAATATTTTCTATCAATTAACTTAAAAATGGTTTGCGGTTTTTCTTAATTCAACAACTTATTTTATAATTTTTTTGTGCTTTCAGAAAATTTCAAATTATATTTTGCTTCAAACTGCTTCAAACAAATCTTTCAAGGATAAATGGACACTTTTTAAGTTGCGATTTACTTTTCAAAACTGAAAATATTTTTCCACATTTTGCAGGAATTTCAGCAATTTTACTTCTGAAGAATTCTTTCTCCAAATAAGGTATTTTAGTGAAAAACTTTTTCATAACAATTTCATTATGTTCCATCACTAGAAAAAATGCGGAAAACTTTTTAAAAACTTGCACATTCCATCATGAAAAAGATTCCAAGAAAATAAATTTTCAGACTTTTTTAAGAAACTTTATTAGTCGGTTGAACTTTTCTATCAAATTATCTATAAAAAGCATTCGCGTCAACTGAGAATTTCTCATTTTCTTTTTGCTGAATTCTTTACAACAAATTAAGACACAACTCAATAAAATAAATTTGTCATAAAACTTCTTTTATGTTCTTGCTCTTCTCAACAAAAAAAATAAGAAGATTTCTTCTCGAAGGCATTTCATTCGAGAAAGGGCCATAGAATTTCTCTCTCTTTTTTCGGGCAGCATTAAGTCAAGCAAGGAATTTTTTTCGGAATCATCAAAATGTTCTTTTGTTAAGCTTCTTTTCTCACTTGAAGAATTTTTTGGCACTGGGTGTTTAAAAAAATTTTCATCAACCCAACAGAAAAGATCCTCAAAAGGTTTTCTAATTTTGTTATTCAATCAACTGTAAATTACTTTATGATAGGATGTCTGAAAGTTTTTTGTCACTGAATATTCGCTAAATAAATGTTTGTTTATAATTTTTCCTTTTTTTCTGATTTGAAAATATTTTCACAATTTTTTTCAAAATTCTTAGCACAAAAATCCTTTAAAATTTTAATTAACTTTATTATCCATATTTTCACAAATTTATTCATTAATTTTGTCTTGGCTTCACAATTTTTTCCTTCCAACTTAGTCCATTGAATCACCACCGTAGACTGAATTGCTTATGAACAAATGCATCGCTCATATACAAAATATACAGCAAAGCATTTCCTTTTCTCTCTCATATTTCCATTAATTTCGGAGGGGAAATGTCGACTGGAAGTGAAATGTGTAAATCTTGAACTCGGGAAAATTGCCATGTGAATGCGATCGATAAAATGAAAATATTTTTCTATTCTTTCGCAATGTTTGTGAATATACATAGAAGGGAAAAAAGGGAATAACGAACAAATTTTCTCTGTGTCTACAAAAACAGTACGAAAAAAAAAAGCTTTAATGCGTGCATAAGGAAAATAAATCATAAATCTGATCATCGCAATGTAATGTTTTGTGTGTATTTTTTTGTTTATTTGAATATTATGGAGTGTGGGTGATTGAGTGCGAGTAAAAATATATGTACAAATGAATCAGGCAGACATTAATGGCAATCTAAAGTTTAATCAACTTTTTTTTTGCAATATCGCGATTTTATGTGGAATTTATAGAGAGAATGTTGAATAAATCAAAATTGACTTTCTAAATTTGAGCTTTTATGATGAAAAAAAAATTTAATTAATTTTAATATCCTTTTTACTAGACGTGACTGTTTTCTCAGGCAAACTAAGTTAATATTTTATCATAATTATCTATAAGTTATCTTTGTTGTTGATGAAATTTGATATTTTATTTTCTACCCATAACCCTTAAGAACAAGAAAATTATTTCTCATATTTTTATGACTGAATATCTTTTAATCAAATAATTCTTGAAATTTTCGTCGGGTTCAGGAGCTTATGGCACAGTAATATGAGAATGTCTACAGTTTATTTATTATCCATTCTTAGAAAACTTTATGTTAACCTAGAGACAAGAATAACAAGACTTTCATTGTTATTTATTTAGCATTTTTGAATAAACAAGATTTTAATTTCAAATCGTTTTTCATTCAAAATTGAAAAGTTATTTTATTTTTATTTAATTTGTGGAAAATGATCTTCTTTTTAAAAGAGAAAAACAGTTTGAATTTAAAGATGTGAGCTGGAGTGTCTTGATTGCGAATGGTCTTCACTTCCTAATTATTTTAACACCAACATAGCAATTTTGGATTCAGGACTCAGCATGGGAAATGTACAATAATCGTATGTCCTGTCCATAAAGTTCTCATCCTTCATTTTCAGGATACAGTTAGAATTATCATCAGTGGAGTCGTTTGCATCCCACTATAAACTGTAGCTCTAGTTCTGAGCGTGAGGTCTATAGCTTGTTCTAAAGTTTTAACATCTAGATTTTATTTTAAAATTAATATTCATTCAAAAAACAAAACATGTTATTTTCATAAAAGCCATAACTTCTCCCCAAAATCTCAATAATGATTAAAGTTTCCTTCAATAAACAACCCTAGTAATATCTCTAAACATCTAATCATACTTTGGTAACATCATTCCATAAAATGCTTCTATAAAATTCCTCAGCAAACACATTTACTCATGGCACATAACATTTATTATAAATCTACACATATTTATACACACATAAAAATATTTGTCATATCTAACCATTAAGATCATTTTTATGATG